CTGGGTTTGTCCCTTTTTAACCCAGCATTTTTTAGAGTGTACTGGCAAGGACAGAATGCACCTCAGACTTATGCAAGTCTCTTTGACCTTTAGGCAACATTTACAAAAGCGTTTCTTAATCTTGGTCCTCATGACCCCCAGCTCTGCATATTTTGCATGTCCTTGTTCAACACACTTGATTCAAATCACCAGCTCGTTAGAAGAGAGTCCCACACTCTAAAAAAATGCTGGGTTAAATACAATCCAGTGCTGGGTAAAATAGGGACAAACCCAGCAATTGGGTTGTTGTGATCCAGCGGTTGGGTTACTACCCAGAAGGTTAGGTTAAACATTTAACCCAACCGCTGGGTCAAAACAGCCCAGTTGCTGGGTTTGTACCTATTTTACCCAGCACTGGGTTGAATTTAACCCAGCATTTTTTAGAGTGCATGAATGAACTGTGTTCCGATTGACATGGTCTCTAGTCCCATATACAGTATACACAGTGGCCCCAAACTGCAAGGCACCTACAGTAAGCCACACTTAAATATGCATGCATGGCATTGCATTAAATAACAAGTAGTGTTTAAGGGGAAACAGTTTAATCATTCAAATATTAGTAAGTATGCATTGAGTGCTTACCTAAAAGAATATAGGGCTCTCAGCTCAAGATGACTTCAGATGATACTGTAATATATGTGCATGCCTTGTCAACACCCTCTCTGTCTCATACAGATAATGGACCTCAGCAGAAAGTTGTTGGGACAGAATATGTTTGAGCAGTTTATGAAGATGACATTCTACGGTCAGTTTGTGGCAGGAGAGGACCATCAGTCCATCAGGCCTGTAGTGCAGAAGAACCAAGCGTATGGAGTCGGGGCTGTGCTGGATTATAGTGTAGAAGAGGATCTCTCACAGGAAGAGGCTGAGAGGAAAGAGATGGAGTAAGTGCTCTCTTGTAGTTCTGCTCCTTACATCCACAAACTACCATGTTTACTGCTGCTTCAATCGATCATAGGTACCAAGGTGACTGGTAAGATTTGTGTGCAATTTAACAAAATGCAAAGTCTGTCAACTACATAGGAGAATGTTGCTCAAGACATTCAGCTTAACATTATTTTATTTTATGATAGATAGATAGATAGATAGATAGAATCTATCTATCTATCTATCTATCTATCTATCTATCTATCTATCATCTATCGATAGGTCAATTTTACATTCAGCTGAACATTTAACTAGTCTGCAGGCATTTATTTGCAGAATACATTAGCCAGACCTGACCAATTAAGAGCAAAATAAATAAATCAGTGATATAGATCACACCAAGTATAAGAACAGAATATAAATGAGCGCAATTATTTTGCTCCATAGAGCTATAGTGCTTAATTTGCTTAATTTAAAGCAGCTAATTAAGAACTTTTGCTCTCCTTAATATCAACCTGCTGTTTTGTGCAATTAGTTTAGTTGAATCCTTAAGTGTTTTGAAAACTTTCTCCCTTTTAGATCCTCCTAGCTTGGCAGAACGATTCCAAAATCTTTCGGCCTGAATTAGTCTTTAAGACCTGCTTTGCATCACACTAACTGCTTTTCGGTAGAGGGCCTAGAGGTTAATGGCCATGCTGTGATTTGTGCTCATGTGGAGAGCCTACAGAAATAGACTGAGATTTGATCTGCTGTCACAGATGTAAACAAAGAGCTGATATGCTATTGGCTGTTTCGGTCAAGGCCCATTGTTTCTGATTGGCTTATGTTGAGGGTATCAACATGCTCACTGTTTAGGAATCTTGTTTCATGGTACACATACAGATAGAGAGCTGCTCTCTGTTTCCACAACAGCAAATGTTTTATAGTAGTTTATGCAGTGTTGTGATATCAGTGGGTTATTATAATTTTTTTGTTTCAAACCTGCATCACTATTACTATTGCACGTATTTAGGGTTAGTGATTTGAACAAATGTCTATATGAATTATTGGGGAGAGGGGTGTCTGACCCCCCCAAAAGAAAACAAAATGACTGGATATTTTGTTATTGGTCAAAACATGGAGATCATCCCAAATATATTTATATTTTCAGTTTTTATTTTAGTTAGTTTTTTTTATTTTATTTAAACGTTTAAAATTAATGTTAAATATATACATTTGGATTCCATTCTGTTTTTGTTTTGATTTATTGCCATTTATGAATTTTAGCGCGTTTTGTGCATTTAATTTTTTTTAATTGTTTATGCTATTTAAGCTTTATTTAATTTGTATTTATATATTTATTTTGCATAAAAAACAAAACAAAATAGCTAGTAGCTAAATCTGGTGGAAAGCATCTCTTCTCTGATGAATGAATGAATAAATAGTTTTTGTTTCAGTTTTAGCAATAATATAAGTAGCAATAATTAACTATAATAATCCTGTTTGCAAATTCAGAGATTTTGACTTCTTGTGATGCCCTATCAACCACCCAATGCATATTCAACTTTCCGAATAAGATTAAAAATATGCTCTCAAATGTAATTTGTTTCCTGTTTGTCAGCATTACTGAAACATTTACACACATTATTTGGCAAATAGTAGACGGTTTTCATTTCATGCAACTTGTATGCTAATTGCAGTCTGGGTTAGTTAGAAATGCAGACTGCGGCCTGTATGTCTACTTGGTTTGTTCTTATTAATAATTCTGAAGGTAACTTTTTGTCATTCATCCTGACCTGGAACTGAACCTGTGACCTTTCTATTATCAGCCCAGGTCCTTAACCATTTGCCTCACCTACATTGTGTCAACGTTATGACATTTGATTAAAAAATGTCTTCATTTGTTCTTGTCATTGACCTTTTGGAAATTACAGAATGTCAGTGCTGTCCCAGAGGGTCTCCTGCTGGAAATATAAATGAAATGTATTGCCTGAGTACTGAGGGAGAGAGAGAGAGAGAAAGAGACGGAGATATAGATGATATGCCATTTGGATTATGAGGAAAAGCCAGTGATACAGAGTGCGATCCAATAAATGGACTTCTCCACATCACTGCTCTCATTTCTGAACGCAGCTGTCAGAGGTCTGAGCAATTTTATAGGCGTCCCTCCTCAGATTACTCTGGTGGCTGTGAAGCGCAGTTCTCTCCGTCGCTTGAGAGGGGCGCTAGATCACCGCGATCGCTCTCCTCACAGACGAAATGAGCTGAAATGGAGCGTTTATTGGACATGCTCTTTACAACCACAGAGGACCCTGGCTGGTCACTGGCTAATAAAAGCTAATTTATGTTCGTGATGTGTGTTTTAGAGCCTCTGCCCCTATCAATATTGCATTAACATCCACCCCAATGGATCCTGTAATGCTGTTATACAGAATAGAGTGCTCAGCTTGGCTTTTCTGCATTATCAAGGGTGTGATAGAGGGAGAATGCTGGAGGATGTGGCATTTGAGTAGGCTGCCATCTAATATGCAGGAACCCAGGGCTGATCATTCCGTGAGTTCTGAGACACCGTTCCTGCCATGTATCATTTTGTATGAAAAAGCTGTTATTGTTAAGTCTTGGTTTGGTGCAGACAGCCATTATTATAATAACAAGTTAACAACCATCGGTCCTCTGTAATTGACTTGCATGTATTGATTTTATGAATTGTCTGCTATATAACATTCAGCTGTCTGCCCAAGACAATTCCACAATTCCTCTGTGCTTGAAACAAAACTAGTGCTGTCAAACGATTAATCGCGATTAATCGCATCC